CTTTGGCCACGAGGCGCGCTTTGTAGCGCTCAATGGTGCCATCAGGTCGATACTTGATTTTGAACACCCCTTTAGAATCAACAATGCGACGATTGGGAGGAGCGGGCACAAGTTTCCAAGTGCCATTCTTTTCGAGCGCCGCAGTTTCCGCAGCCATCGCTGCTCGCCAGCAGGCGTGACGAAATTGGCTAGAGGGTACCTGGTATTGGTGGCCTCGGCCTGGTAACACTCATAATTGTCAAGGTGTTTTGGGCGGGTGCGGTGACGATTACCCCGCCGAAGTTCTGGATTCGCGACATTAGCTAGGGGACGGAGGCCCATCCAAAGCAGGCTGGGCCAAAGTGGAAGGCGGGGTAGGAGCCCGCTTTGGCAGGGGTGTGGACTGTCCGGCACGGCCCGCCGAAGAAGGAGACCCGAGGGAAGAACTGGGCTACAAGGCAGGGCCCATTTGCATTTCGGGGCCCGCTTGTGAGGGAGACCCAGCGGGAGAAGAAGTCTCAGGCCGCGGTAGCTGATCGGAGGGGCCTGGTGAGTGGCTCGGCTCGGTAAGAAGGCTGGCTGTGTTGGGCAGATTAGATGGTTCTTCTTCAAAGATCGTAGGAGGCAACCAATGATATTCCTGCGGATCCTGCGCTCGGTAAGGGAAGTGAGTCTCATGGAAAACAACGTCACGAGATACAATTACCTTTTGACTATCGAGATCAAGAAGTCGGTATCCTTTTTGGGTTCCTGCATAGCCTAGAAAGATGCAAGCACGCCCCGTGCTTCGAACTTGGAGAGATGCGAATAAGTGTCCTTGGAGTAGGCGAGGCACCCAAACACACGAAGGTGATCATAGTGAGCTGGTCGGTCAAATAAAAGTTCAAACGGGGTCTTCCTTGTAGCAGACGTGGGGAGGCGATTGATGAGATACACAGCCGTGAGTACACACTCTCCCCAAAACCGAATAGGTAAACCCGCATGAAACCAGAGAGCTCTAGCAGTGTCAAGTATGTGTCGATGTTTGCACTCCACAACTCCGTTCTGCTAAGGCGTATCCATACAACTAGTCTGCAAAAGAATACCTAAGCGATCATAGAAATCCTACAAAGAGGTGGTGTTGAATTCCGCCCCATTGTCGGTCTGAATACGTCAAACCTGTCTGCCAAACTGGGTATGAACCATCTCACAAAACATGAGAACAAAATGGGCAACATCAGATTTAAACTTTAGCAAGTAAACCCATACACCACGGCTATAATCATCGACAATGGTAAGAAAACAATGTGCGCCACTAAGAGAGGCTTGTTTGTAAGGACCCCAAATATCCATATGAACCAAATCAAAACAACCCGTGGTTTTAATCGAACTAAAGGAAAAAGGTAGCCGACTTTGTTTAGCCCTCGAACAAGGGTGACATGGGGACAAAGGTTTGCCAACTGAAAAAGATGCCCCAGTCGCTCGTGCCACCAATCTTGTGCTGCACTAACTCCACGACCAGCAGCTAACGCAAAATACTCATGACCGCCAAAGAGTTTCAAGTAGTAAAGTCCATCACGGAGCTCACCCTTCCCAATCACTGTCTTGGAGTGTAAGTCCTGAAGTAGACACATGTCACGCATAAAAATCAAGGCATCATCATTATCTTGTAGCAAAGGACTTACGGATAATAGGTTACACCGAAACTGAGGAACGTGCAGAACACTTTCTAAATGAATCCCTGTAGCAAGCTTCACGGTCCCAACCTGTTGAACGGGAACGCGATCTCCATTGGGCAACCAAATATGTTGATTCTCGGTACTTGAAACCACATCACACAACAACTCGAAACTGGTCGTGATGTGTTCGTTACATCCGGAATCAATGAACCATTCAAGAGAGTCAAAAGAGTTACCTGCCATGTTTGCCGATGGGTCTTCAATTGACTTATTGTTCTCAAAGAACTTCTTTAATTGCTCCAATTGCGCAAACGTGAAGCCAGGGACAGAGCTTGTCTTGCCATCAACCTGGGATGCACGTAGAGCTCCCTCCTGCATGCCTTGTCGAGGCCTGCGCTCCCCTCGATCGGCTGGTTGCCTTTTTGCCTGATCGCGCATGCCGCACTCACTTTTATCAGTCGAACCTTGCTTGTTACGAGGAGGCCAGCCGATCAGCTCGTAGCAAGTTTCTTTGAGGTGTCTCGTCTTGCCACAGCGTGTACACTTCATGTGGGGATGAGAGCTTGAATCCCGATCATGATCGGCTCGGCCAGAGTCCTCTCGTGCGACAAACGCCGCTGCTTCTGCTCCAGGACGCCTTCACTGGGCCAACAGCCGCTGCTTCTCATCATTCGACACCATGTTGAATGCTTCAGCGAGAGAAGGTGGAGTCTTCATGGCTAGGATTTGAGAGCGCACTGTGGTAAAGCTCTCGTCCAGCCCCATTAGAAAATCCAGCAATCGGGTGCAGTCTTCACGATCTCGTGTCCTTCGTTCAAGGCCGCAGGTACATTGACCGCACGTGCACTGCTCGGGAGGATAAATGGACTCCGCCTCCTGCCAATAGCTCCGCAGTTGGGTGTAGAAGGAAGATACGGTGAGCTTTTCCTGCCATAGGTCAGAGATAAGTCTTCGCAACTCGTATCCCCTCGTGACCGACCCCTGACCAAACCGTTCCTTTAGGTCCAGCCAGATTTCCCTTGAGGTTTTTGCAAACTTGACGCTGCTACGTTCTTCCTTGTCATGGAAGTTCGCAGCCACCCTTTGACGTCCGCATCGCAGCGACCCCATGGTCTGTTCTCAGGCTCATCCTTTGGTTTGACGATCACCCATCAACAAACCCAAACTTGTTCTTGACAATGAGTGAGTCGGTCATATCGACTACCCACTCACCATAATTCGTGGGGGTTAGAACTTACCCGACGTGAAGCTGTCCCGTATTGTCCAACGGGTGGAGATAGAGAACTGATGAGGGATCCATCGCTGGCGACAGAATCGACGAACCTCCAGGAAACACGACGACCTTCTTGTCGCGTGATCCCTTCGACTCTTCAGTATCGCTCATAACGATGATGACGTGAAACCTGATTCAAGAATGCCCTAGAGCGAGCGCTCTGATACCATGATAATTATCGAACAAGAACAAGAAACAATGAACAAGAGACGCAATGTTTACGTGGTATCCCCGAAGTGTCGGGACTAGTCCACGGGAGAGGGAAGCCTCTCCAGCTACTGATCTTATTGATTGATAACTTTGTTAGCCAACCGGATGTACACAACAACTTATATAACTAGATACAGTAGCTAGGGTTTTATTATGGACAAGGCTCTTTCTACAATACACGAGGAAGAGGGACTTGTGTCCCTGTAGTTGGCAGGCCCATCACAAGGCTTGGACTTGGGCTGACCCAATGATGACTCGGCTGGCCCAAGATAAAGGATCCAAATAAACAATCAACACCTGGCCGGGCCAGAACAATAAGGGATTTAGGACGGAGATGGACTGCGGGTCAAGCCTTAATCACTAGCATCGGGTTTGTATCCTTCTCGTCTGCTTATAGTTCCATTATAGCACTGGTATTTGTCTAGGCTTAAGACAATAGAAAGTATAGGGAGGAGAAGAAGCTACCGAATGTTGACAATGGTATGTTAATGCATTGGTAACTAGAGTTCTTTTGGGTGACCTTAAGTGCAAAATACAATGTAATATGTACGTATGGATTAATAGCTAATTAGTGCATGGAGGGAATCAGCTATCCAAGGAAGTTCACATGAGAAGTAGGTAAATGGAGGTGATGCATGTGTTTCAAATGATTGGCCAATAGGGAATACTTGGACGTGTCTAAGGACTAAGAATCGAAATGGAAAGGATTATAGGGTGCTCAGAATTGAAGGATTTACGAATGATCAATTAATTGATGGGAATTAATTTTACTGATTTGATGAATCTGTTGTAAAGGGCTTAACGTGAAGCTGGTCTATTCCAAACCCGATACAAGAAAGAGGAAGAACTTGGAACCTCTGAGCACAACCAGCAAAACTATCGAACTTCTAGGTGGAGACCTTCAACGATTAAGTAAGGTGAGTTTAAAGGGGTAAATTCTACGCCTTACATATTTTTCAAGTATTTGTCTTACGAGCTTTAATTAATTTTGTGAAGTGGTTGTATGGTTGTTTATGCTTATGGTTGATGATATGTGCTTTTGTTTGAACTATGATTTGAAGTGAATGTGTGTTATTTAATTACCTTAAAGCTTTACGTTATGAGTGATTATTAAATTTTAAGAAACAAGTTTCTTTTAAGAAGTTCTTCACCTTCATGAAGGTGAAATAGTTTTAAGTGTTTTTAGTCACGAGCGCCAGTCAGTTGCCATTTGAGATTTTCAGATAGAGCAGCAGTAATGCTATTGAGACCTTTGAGATAGAGCAGCAGTTATGCTCTTGAGATATTTTAAGATGAGCAGCAATTATGCTCTTGAGAATCGTGGAAGAAGAGCCTTCCATGATAAGTTTAAGTTTAAGTTTAAGGAAAGCCGTGATGGTTTCTCATACGTATGAGTTGGCAACCGGACTAGCTAGTGAGGGATCCTTATGTCAATCAAGAATTTAAGTGGAGATTTGAGCTTTAAGAGTACAGTTTTAAGAGTTAATATTTTTAATAGTGGAAGTACAAAACAACTTCTACTAAGTTAAGTAAAGTGATCAAGTATTAATAAGATGTTAAACGTAACGGCGTAGACTGACCCATCTCATTCACCAGTTTGAAGAGCTAGAGGAGGAGCTAGAGGAGCAATTAGTGAGCAATGAGTTCGAGGGCAACCAGTTACAGGAGGGAAGTATAAGCGTCACAGAGGATGCTTAGTCAAGGTTTTAGTAGCAACAACATTAGAGATTATTAGTTATTTACATTTATGATTATGAGTATAGACTGGAGATCACTTAGAGATTTGAAGTATTGAGTTTGCTCATGTGTTAGGGCGTTGCTTTGAACTAAAAGTGTGTGTTTTCAGTATTTTATTTATGAAAATTTTTCCCGCTGCATTTTAAGATTTGAGTATTTTATTTATCAAGGGCATTTTAGTAAAAGTAGTACCCGGCCGGGTTAGGATGTTACAAGCTAGCGGGAAGCTTGAAGATAAATGGCATCCCCGAGGAGGCATTGCTATTGAAGCTCTTCCTGTATTCTTTGGCGGGGAAGGCACTCCGATGGCTCAACAACCGTCCGACTCTATCCATCACCTCTTGAGACGACTTACTCAACAAGTTCATGCCCCGATATTGTCCTCCTTCCAAAACGTCCGAGTGGAGGAAGAAGATCACTCACTTTGAGCAAGAGGAGGATGAGACATTGAGGGATTCATGGGAAAGATTCTCCAACTACTTTCTCCAATGCCCTCAACATGGATTCGAGGAGCAATTTCGGATAGAAACTTTCTATGGAGGACTCATTCAAGACGACAAGATCCTCATTGACTCTCTTTGCCAAGGGAATTTGATGAACATGACCCTCCTCAAGTGACCGAGTTGCTCGAAGATATGGCCCTTAAGGGATATGATTGGGGCTTGACAAGAAGTGGGAAGAGAAGCAACGATCCAGGAGTGTGAAGTGTGGGAACAAGTGCTCCACTTAAAACAAAGCTTGACAAGTTGATCGAGGTGATCATTGAGGACAAGAAGCAAGGGAAGAGAGCGGTGATATCTTGTGATTGGTGTTCAAGCACTAATAATGAAATTGCGGATTTCCAAGCGATGAAGGAGACAAGTACCCACCGAGGAGCAAATGAGTTTCATTACCAATGTTAGAGGGAATAACCCTTATAGCAATACATACAACCCCGGGTGGCGCAATCATCCAAACTTCGCTTGGTCTTCCCCTACCAATTCAAGACCTACCGGTTTCCAAGGTCCAATGGGCAACAATCAACCTCGGCCAACCTTCATCCAACAAAGACCTCAATTCCAAAACTCGGGCTTCAACAACCCTACCAAGCACAAGGCGGTCAAAGGTTTCAACAACAACAACAAGTCGACAAGTTCTCTAAGCTTACAGACCTTGTGACCTCCTTTGTGAGTACAAGCTCTCAGAAGTTCGAGAAGATTGGGCAATTCATGGATGTGGCAACCTCCTAGTTTACCTCGGTTGAGGCAGGACTCCGGAGCCATCAAGAAAGACTCCATAACTTGGAAGTGCAAATTAGAAATCCTGCCGGGATCCTCACCGAGAGACCAAAGGAAGCCCTACCCTCTCAAACCATTACCAACCCCAAGGATCATGCCGGGGTGAATGCAATCCATTTGAGGAGCGTGAAGATGACCCTGGAGGTTGTTGCCAAAGAAGTGAATGAGAAGGAAGACTCTCTACCCGAGGGTGATGAACAAGAAACATCGGGAGAAAAGAGAGGAGTGGTGAGGAAGGCATTGCCGATGCCACCACCTGTGGCTGAGTACACACCGCCACTACCTTTTCCCACGAGGGTGCACAAGTAAAGATTGGAAGTGGAATGTGGATGTTTCATGGAGATGCTCCGGAAGCTCCACCTCAGCATTCCCTTCCTTGAAGCAATGGCCCACATGACAAGGTATTCGAGATACCTCAAGGGGTGTCTCTCCAAGAAGCCGAAGTTCGAAGACCTCGCCAATCTCACCCTAGAAAACTCCTTGGTGAACTTAGGTGCGTGCATAAATGTGATGCCATATAAGCTTTTTAAGAGGCTATACATAGGTGAACTAAAGACTACGAGGCTTAGTGTCACATTGGCCGATCGCTCTGTCATTAGTCCTAGGGGCATAGTGGAGGACGCGCTAGTACGAGTGATAAAATTCTATTATCCGATGGATTTTGTGATCCTAGATATAAGTGAGGGTTTTGAGATGCCACTCATACTAGAACGCCCTTCCCTTGCCACTACCAAGGCTTTAATTGATGTAAATGAGGGAGCTTTGACCCTAAGAGATGGTGAGTAGAGAATTACTGTGGAATTGATCCTAAGCCTAGGAGTGAGGATGTGAAGGAAGTGGAACCGAGTGATATGAATGTAAGTGGAGGAGAGCCTTGCAAAGCGAACCCCACTATTACTGTTGGTTCTTGTGATGATGTGAAGTAGGAAAGCAAGGAGGGCATCTTGCCCAAAGAAGGAAGCTAGAGAAAGGATAAGTTATGCTAATGCCCTGTGGAAAGAAAAAGGGGATAGCAAAGGTCATTGGCCGAGAAGGCAACCCAATAGAGAGTAAGTTGGGAGGCGACATGCCTCGCTTCGACAATGTGGCAGATCCACTCTCGGCGGCATCAGGTTCAAAGGCGTGATAGATCTTCAGCGTCAAGCTAGTGACGTTAACTTAGCGCTTATTGGGAGGCAACCCAACGTAGGTTTGTTTTCTTTTCCTTATTTTCACTAGTGTTCCCCAACAGATTGCCCTATTCATGTTCTTATAAGACTGTGAACAAGCAAACGCGTCCGTGAACCAGGGAGCTTCCACGTGTGTCAAACCCATCGACTGGCATGTGTTCACGGATGGATTGCAGTGTTCATGATCTTAACAATCTTGAACTGGCAAACGCGTCCGTGAACTACAGGATCTACCTATATAAGGGCCATGAACGGTCTTCTTCACTTCACGACCTAAAATCTCGCCGGAAAATTTCAAACCCGCTGGAAAACCTCGAAAATCCGACGATTTTTGCTCATTTCCTCCACTTCCGACGAGCCAAACCCAAACCCAACACCAGACCCAGTTTCCCCTCATCAAAAGCGGCCTTCGCTGAGATTTTGGGGAGATTTGGAGCATTTTTCTTCCGGTGAAGTCGCCGACAGCGAGACTCCGAAGAAGCTCTGGAGACCTCCTCCGGTCTGTTTTTGGCCGATTTTTCACCTTCGTCGCCCTCTCCTCACCTCCCTACCCTTCCTACTTGAGTCTCCAGGTTAGTTTTCCGCTATACCTTATTTATTTTGGGAGAATCGGATTAGGTAGTGAAGTGAGGAGAATTTTGGTGAATTGAATGTCGAACTTAGCGTTAGGGTGAGGAATTAGGCGAATTAGGGTGATTGAATGATGTTGCTTGAGCTTAGTTGAGCCTTGGTGGGCATGTTTTGATTCAAATTGTTTTTATTTGTGAAATTTGCCCACCAAGTGCTAATTATTTAATGATGAGAAATGTTTTGCTTGAGTAGTGGTTGGTAGCCACCGTGGCATGGTTCAGGTTTGAATTTTTGTGTGGGATAATCCGTGACTGCCTAGAACCATGCCACTCTGTGCTTATGCTTAATTGTTTTGATTAGCATGGATCCGTACTAGAAATATAAGTGTATGTGTGGGGGGGGGATTCCTTTTTCCTCCCAATGATTGAGAATGACAATAATTTCCATGTATGATGCATGTTTGTCGATTTTGCAGGATGTTGAACGTGGAGCACGAGTACATCAGCTACTTGGTGAACCACACTAGTTTCGGGACAAAATTTGGTTACCAGAGGGACAGCCCGATCGGGCCACATTAGCGGTTGGACCTGGACATGTTGAACTTGTTCATATGCTGAGCCGCGATGTTAGGGGTCGCATGTTACCCCCAGTGGCGCCAACTGTTTTCTATGGACGAGCTCAGCTACTACAAGCTCTGCGTGGAGTTCTACTCTACATTCACCCACGTCGTCCCGACCAGCAAGAAGAGTCGGCCCTACGTGGAGTTTATGCTGGGCGGTCAGCCACAGGTGCTGACTTATGATGCATTCGCCCAGGCCATGGGGTTCGAAACGACATATATGAAGACGACGAAGCGCAGTACTCCGTCGACTTTCATTACCAGGCCGCATTCCAGACCCTCTACCGCTCCAAGCACAAGCAGGACGAGTTTGAGGCTAGCCGCACCAATGCGGTGAAGTTGAGGACCCCATGAAGGATCATGCACACGCTGCTCACCCGAGCTGTCGTTCCCAGCTCGCATTCAGGCCACCTTCTCACTCTCTTTTCGATGAGGTATCCAGCAAAGCCGATAAACCTGAGATCTCTGATAGCCACCTCTTTCGCCCGGTGTCTGGGGCGGAACAGGGTGGACACTATGCAAATGGGGGGCATCATCACCAGGCTGGTCTGACACTTTCAGGTGGATCTGGAGCGGTGCTTCATCGTTGGCCGGACAGATTCCTTCCCATTGGGGACTCTCTAAAACCAGAAGCTAGTGCTTCAGGGAGAGTGGGGGTATAATACCTTGAGGGGCTCCGACCATCAAGATTCATGAGACTGGCAGTTGACCCGGCTCTAGTGGATCCAGATGCAGATGGTCCACCTCCAGAGCAGCCACCTGCTCGAGCTCCCATCCCCTAGTGAAGAGGATGGACCGTTTAGAGACCCACGTCGTAGTCGTCACTTCCCGGCTTGACCGGCATACAGACCTGCTCAAGCGGATCGCTCGTCGTCAGTGCCTCCTTCCAGATGATGAGCCGGCGCCTTCGACCCAGTGAGAGGTAGTCGACGAGTGAGACATGTGGCAGAGCCAATACTTTCGCCTCACTTCTCCACTTGGAACTCTGAATTTGTTATTTTATTTTTCTTTCTTTTATTTAGCATGTGTGAACAACTACTACTATCGTATTGTGTTGTGTAATAACCTCGCCTCGAGCGAGTATGTGTTGTGCTTGTGTGTGTGTGTGTGTTTTTTTGTCTTCTCCTTGAAGCTAAACTCTCCTAGCCTAAAAAAATTCCAACTTTCACTCACCAAGCCAAGAGGTAACATCGTTCTACCCCTATCTTACACCATTGAGGGCAATGTCGAACTTAAGTGTGTGAGGGGGGGGGGGGGGGGGTAGTTTATTCTTATGCTTGTGGGAGTGTGTTCGATGCTTGGAGCTTTGATGTATGCCCAAATTTGAAAATTTTGAGGCTCTAAGCAATGTTTGCATTATCGAAGTGGTCGGTTTGTAGAAGAATCTCATGTTAATAGGCATTGACCTTGAATTGTTGCATGTAATTGAGTATGTCCTATGATGATGACTGAGAGGTGCATTAGGATAATGCAAAAGTTTAGTTCTCATGTGTGCAAAAATGAATGGATGTCTTGACTCGATTACTTGTCGATTACAATTGCCATGCATTGTGTTTTGTGAAATTGGAATGAATGATTGGGTAACTAGGTAGCCATGTGAGTTTTGAGCCGATCGTTTTATTTTTGTGTGCTTACATCCCTCTTACCATTGCGGGTAACATCACAGTTATCACTAGCGAGTATGATTGAGGCATAGGATTAGTCCACGCCCAAATGTTGATTGTCCATAAATGCTTTATCCCCTAGTCAACCCCTTTGAGCCTTGTGACTTTGGGGGTTATTCTCTTGTAGGAGCTTTTTGCTTGTGAGCTTAATGGTGTTTGATGGAACGATGCCCCCATCCTTTATTCGTGTCTAAACGTGACTCGTCCTTGTGTCCCTGAGCTCTAGCTTTTGAGTTCCATTGAGGTTCTACATGGAGGATTGTGTGTGGTTCTTGCTAGGAATGAAAGAGAAAAGAGTAGCGTTGGAGTGAGTGTTTAAAAAAGAGCATTGGTTGTTAAAGGTAAAGTGGCAAGTGTTTAACTCTCTAGTACCCACCTCAAAAATAAAAAGAAAGAGAAAAAGAAAGAAAAGGAAAGTAGAACGAAAAAGGAATCGAAAAAGAGGTAATAAAACGGGGTAAATAAAGTAGAGAGTGCCACAAAAGATTCAAAGAGTATGCTCTAAGTGGGGTTTCATGGCATACAAGCCATTGAAACCCCCACATTGTTTTAGAACTCCTTCACTAGAAGTCGAATTGTGATAGCAAGAGTAGACCGAGTAAGAGCGCTTAAAGGTAGTTCATGAAGGGTGATGGTTTGGAAAGGAGAAGCATGGTTTTTGGCCAATGCTAGAGGCCAATGTTTGTAGGGAAGGTTCATAGTCGAAACCATAGAACCTTCGGGTTTAGGGTGAAGAAGTAGGATCTCATGATGTGTTTGCCACCACCCAAAAAGCATTTTCCCCATGTCCAAGACAATTGTCAGTCTGTTGAACCCGTGTCTAAGAACTCCGGATAAGCTAGTGATGACAACCGTCATGTGAACTCTAACATTTAGAGGTTGTCCCCGTGGTGAAGAGACGATAGGACCAAGTGTTGATGATTGTGCACATTCTTTGCACCAAAAAGGTCCCGACCCCACTGGTCAAGAGAGTGAGTGATTCATTCTTGCTTTGCATGACATATCATACCCCGATGAGGACCTTTTTGCCCATTCGTTGGTTCATTGAACTTGAATGTTATGCATGGTTAGTTGTGGTGGATAAGTGATCTTGTTGAGACTTTCATTTATTCATGAACAAGGTGATAACTTTTTGTTTGCCCGTTTTTGGTGACCTCGAATGTCGTTTGTGGTGGATGTCGGTATTGCTTGCAATGGTCCATGTGTTAAATGACAATAGCCATTGAGATTCACCACTTTGTGCCCTTTGATTTGTCCCCAAATAATTTTTGTTAGGTTGAGAGATTACCTTGTGTGAAGTGGTTTGCTTGGGGACAAGCAAACGTCCAAGTGTGAGGGAGTGATTCGGTCCTAATTGTACACTTTTTACCCCCGTTTTGTTGTGATGTTTGTTGCAATTTAACTCCGAAAGGGGTGGTTTTACGCGAGGTTTCTAGTGTTTCAGTGTGTTTCAGATCCTAACAGGTGAAACTAACCCCGCAGTCGAAAGTTGGAAGGAAAGGAGCAAAGATCGGGCAAAGAGGAGCAGACAACCGCAATACACGATCTCCCATTGGAGTTCACGGTCTTACAGGACCGTGAACTGGGGCCATAGTCTGTGAACAATAAAAGCGTCCAGAGAGGGTTTTGAAGTTGCTGACGCCAGGGTTGTTCACGGTTGCTAAGACCGTGAACATAAGCCACAGATCGTGAACCCACGGATGTGAAGTGGTGCGTTTTTGTTCAGACACCGTGTTCACGGACGCGTTTCCATGTTCACGGCCTTGAACTCAAGCCGTGAACTGAGCTCGATCTCGGTTTAAAGAGTCATCTTAAAGGAAGAAGAGGGGAGAGACCTAGTGTGAGAAACTTCTTCTTCTTCTTCTTCTTCTTCAGATTTTAGAGTGAGAAAGTGACGAACCAAAGAGGAGGAGAAGCTAGGGTTTCATCTCCAAGCAAGGATTTGGGGATCCTTAGGTTAAGAGGCTCAATTAGAGATCTGTGTTCTTGGGCATTGCATGCCTCCTATGCTAGTTTAGAGAGGAAACCTCCTTTATCCAAAGAGGCTCAATTTGAGCCTGGTTTCTTTGGCATTCAAAGCCTCCTAGACTAGCTTAGAGAGAACCCTCCTTAACCTAAGAGGCTCTATTAGAGATGGGTTTCCTTGGGCATTTCATGCCTCTTATTCTAGGTAAATTACGGGCAAATCTCATAATTCGTATTCCCACTTAGGTTTTGGTTGTGGGTGGCCATCCGAACTCCAATTCGAGGGCGAAGTCTAACTATTTCTTAGTCGATAGGTTGAGAGTGTCGCATTAGCGGCTTGGATCATATCTCATTTCCTCAACCTAGAGACTAAGAGGGTAGTCTTGGTTACTTGTTAGACTTCCCTGCGATTTATAATGCCCTAACCACACACGGTCGTTCGATTCTTCAAGTCGTGATTGTTAGCTAGGGGGATCAACACCCGGGTAAAACCTTCTCAATTAGTGTCAAAACCATTTTACCTTTGCAAACTAATCCGCTAGATAATGTTTCAAACAGTCGAAGTAGCGGTACATGAGCCGGGCCGGGTCGATATTTAAACATACTTGCCCTACATTGCACCCATCTAAGGTTTATATTTGGTCGTTAGGTTAGATTTTATTGTGATAGTCGGAGTCAATACCTAGGCACATATTTATGAGCAAATTGACCGCTAATTCGGAGCTTTTGTTTGTCTGTCCGCTTAGTCACTTGGCATCTCCCGGCGGCCGCCTCATCCTTTTCGAATGATTTTAAGCTCACTTTCCCTATCCTTCACGGCTCTCTCTCGCCCGTTACCCATTTTCACACGATAAGTAAAGCAAGCCCCAATTTGTGAACTGATTTTGTCAACAACTGATTTTGTCAACTCGCTCGGCAATAAAAAAAAAATTGAATATGGCACGTACGATAATACTCCGACCCATCGACAAGCTTATCAACTATTAAAGCTTGTCAACTCTGCTCGGCATTGAAAAATGAATATTTAGGCACGCGGGTAAGTAAAGTAAAATATATTGAATGTACATAGGTTTCTTGTATGGTTGCTGTAGTAGAAATCATGGATATGTGAGTTTTAGTTCCAGAATCATCCAACCCATAGATTTAGGGGTACGCTATGATGACAAGAACTGCGATCCAATAGTGAAATACATTCTAGAATCAAGGACCGGATTAACGATGTGTTCGGTTCAATTCGGATTTGTACAAATGTCAATTCAATTAATTTTTTCAAGTATTTATAAAATATACAAGGCCAAGGATCGGACTACATTATATTCAATTCGGTATGATCAGATTCAAGCTTCGCTTTGGTTTGGTACAGTGCGTACCAAATTGTTGCACACTCCTATAGTACTTACCCAATGACTATACCATCTGAAATTTCCACATTTTTGCTAACTATGAGGTTAATTTCTTTTTTTTTAATATAAAACTATGAGGTTAATTTCCACATTGATGTTTTCAGTACTACAATTAAATTGGAAAATATATGAACAAAAGTAGTGTTCTTAGACCCATTATTGTAAACCCTTATAGTAGATTATACCAAAAATATCAGTGATATGATATTTTATACTAAAATTATGTTTAGCCGTGTTCAATCTTTTCATGCATTTAAAAAATATCTATTAGTTTGTGATCCGATATCCGATATTCTTGATTTGACTAAGCGGTACGGTATCTAAAGCATAGTTTTAAATTCCTCAAGAGACCACAACTATGTATTTGTGTAGATTCCGAGCTAGGGCGGACCCATTCATATTTGAGGGTTGTCAATTGACAAACCTTAATTGTGAATTTGAGACCAATTTACTACGTTAAAATTTATATTTGCAGTGGTTGTATTTAAACCCTAAATCATTTGACAACCCTTACAATTTTGAACTGAATGTTTTACCCAAGATACAACCTTATAAAACTACAAAGCAAATGTATACTATTTATTACTAATTTCATTTGTAGAACATAAACTAATTGATAAATGAATCAAGGGTATGTATGAGACTTTGAAGAATCGATAACCTAGCTAGGTGAATTGTGGAGACTTGAAAAAATTATTTTTAACATGCTTGCTTCAAAATTAGTGTTGACTTTACTTGTTGCAATTGTAAGGATTGAAAAGATGTTTTTAAAGATGAAATTAATCAAGAACAATCTTCATAATTCATGCGAGATCAATTATCAATGATTGGTTGGTTACGCTCATTATAAAAGGTGAGTCCTAGCAGAAATGATGATTTTAGAAATATATTTGAATATGAAAATACGTCATGGTTTGTCGTGAAAATTGATAAATTTGTATAATTTATGATTTTTGTTTTATTTTATAAATTTATCATTGAATATCCTTAATAAAATTTCTTGGTCTGCTACTGATTTTGAGAGAATTCTCAATTCGAATATGCTCTGGATACAGATGTCATTTTTGTTGTGTTCCTCATCATATGTGTCATTGATGTCCGTACAACAGATTGAAGAATTTGTGGTGGAGGAGATAAAGAGAATATCCACTCCACTCAAACGGCTTGGTAAACGCCCCCAAGACTCTGGCCGACATTGCTGAATCCTTGATAGGAGCAGTTTTCGTCGACAGCGATTGCTCCGTCGATACATTCGTCAAAAAAAAAAAAAAAAAAAAGATTGCTCCGTCGATACCGTCTGGAAGGTAACCAAATCAAATCAAATGAAACCCAACTTTAAAAGCGAGAAGACCCTCGTTATGGTTTTGTTGGGTGGATTCATCATTATGACATGTAATGTACGTCTTTGGCTTTGTTAATAATCAGGCGTTGTTTCGTACATCACGTAATTGTACGAACTAAAATAAATTGAAATACTGATTTATTCTTCTTTGATTTTTTTTTATTAAAACGTAGAAATTGACTCGACTCTACTGTCACTCCAGGAATTGGCCAAGTGAAACCACTTCCTAAAGCGTAGTATAGCGGGTTTGGGTTTAATTATCAACCCGGGTCCTAGATATGATGACTACTCAGTGAATTCGTGTTATCTAGCAATGAAACTGGAATGCAAGTCTAAACTATCAAACTAACAAAGCAGGTAAACGGTTGTATTCAGGTTAAAGAGGTCACCCGGATATGGTTCCCCCTAGACTGCAGTTAAGCCGGATTGTAATTACCAAGTTCAGTTTCTATGACAGTTATACTGCGGAAGGTTCTTAAACAGCCTGAAGTCTTGACTAAAGGTCTTCAGACCCTCTCAATCTGACTCTCTAGCGGGCGACTAACCTCCACCGGAGTCGACAGATTGAGGCCCTAAGAACAAAACCTCCACTACCGGAGTAAATCCGGTACAGAATAGTGAGTTGGC